TGCTTATTACTAGTCTCTGTAGTTCTGCCATTACCTCCTTCCTCAACCCAAATCATACTGCAGTCCAGCAGCCAGAGCAAACTTTTAAGGATGTGTGTTATATCATGGTTTCTCTTTGCTCAGAACCTTCCAGTTGCTTCCCATTTTCCTCAGAGTAAAACCATTATCCAGACAATGACTCCAAATTTGGGCCCAGTGTGTCAGCCTGCACCCTTATACTTCTCTCTCCTGCTATTTTCCCCATCCCTTATCCAGTGCTAACCTGGTTGTTAAACATTTGCTATTCCCTCTGCTTGGAATGTCTGTACAACTGGTTCCTCCATTTCCTGCAGATTTTTGTTCAAATGTTACCTTTGCACGAAACTTTCTCTGATCACTCTTTTTAAAGTTGCAATTGATCCCCTCACTCAATGTGTCCTGGTCCACTTTTCTGACTTATTTTCCTTTAAAACACTTAACAAACTAGTTTGGTCTCCTTTTAAAATTACTGTGTGTCTTTCTTACTGGAATTTAAAATTAAAAACAAATACTGGAGTATTTGTCTACTTGGTGCACTGTTGCATTTCCTATATGCCCTGCATCAAATTATTATTTGAATATTTGAATCCTCCATATCTTAAGACTGATGTGAGTTGATGTTTGAGATTCTAGTGTTACTTTCCTGTCAGTTTCTTCAACCGGTTTTGTTCCTCAAAAGTGGTAATTTAAAAATATGGCTTCAGATTCTTTGGCACTCTTCCCTGGAATCTGAGCAGGTTTGTAACTGCTTCAACCAACAAAGCATGGCAGAGGTTATGCTATGGGACTTCTGAGGTTAGGTAATAAAGGGCTATGCAGTCTTTGGGTTATTTGCTGGAGTGCTTGCTCTTGGAGTCTTTACACCTAAATGTGAGAGGTTGACATCCTGAGGCTGCCATGCTGTGAAGAAACCGAAGCCACATGGAGAGGCCATATACAGGAGTCACCATATATAGGTGATATTCTAGTGAAACCCAGCTTTCAAGTCTTCTTCTGGCCAATACACCAGGTACATGAGTGAAGAAGCCTTCTTGGAAGTGGATCCACCAGTCCCAGCTGTTCTAGTCCCCGACATGCTTTAGAAACAAGCCTTGCCCAATCTATCCTGATCTAGAATTCATGAACATAATCAAATGGTGGTGGTCTGACACCACTAAATTTGGGGTGGTTTGTTCCATAGCAGTAGATTACCAGAATAGTAAAGGGAAAAGGTCAGATATAGTGAATTACCTTTGAATAGAAAGTTAAATTTTGAGGTTTTTTGGGGTGTGTGTGTGTGTGTATGCGTGTTTCCTACTGACGAGATGAAGAGATGGTGTGTGCAAACATTACTCTGCCAGTCTCATCTTGGAAGGTAGTGTCCATCCACATTAACTCACTAGACTCTAGGTGCTCATTAACTTCCCAGAAATGTCATTCCAGTAAACCACTTGAGATTCCATGCTTAAAATTCTGGGTTCCTGATATATTTCTGTATTGGTCACCTGGAGTTGCTAGCAGTTTTAGACCAGCCCATGTGGGTGTTCACTGTCCTTTTTTATGATATGACATTTCAGGAACCTGGGCTCCTTTTATCTTGGAGTTCTACCATCTTCTTGGGTCTTAGCGTTCTTTACTTTTAGCCAGCAGACAGGAAACAAGGAAGAATTGAGGACAGAATAAGAGATTTTTATGGAAGTTGGGTTCTCCATTTCTGACCATATCCCAGTGGCCAGAAATAAGTCACATTGGCACCATCTTGATACAACGGCAGTAGTGGTGGTGCTTCCTAACAACACTCTACATTAAAGAAGAGGAGCACAAATCTTGGTCAGGCAACTTCTCCTGTCTGCCACAATCAGACTGAGCATTTTAAGGATCCTAAATCTCAGAAATGGATAAGAGATAGAACTTTCAGACTGTCCATGATATCTATATGTGGATTACGATCTTCACTTACCTGACACCTTAGGAATTAAGGTATTCCTCAGTAACTGTGAAGTCAGGATTGATTGAAATATAGTGTAGTGAAGGCAGGAAAATCGCAGTTTTCAGGTAATTGGAGATTTTTATTTTACTTTTGAAGGAGTGACACAGAGTCTAAGGGCCCAATCTGGATTTTTGGCTGGTTTACACTATAATGGAACTTGGATAATTATGGCAAAGAAAACTCTCTTTCCTTTTTTGTAAAACCATTGCTACAAGTTTAGCTTTGCTATTGCATGTTTGCCCTTCAAAATGTTTTTGTGCTTGGCAGAAATTATAATAGCACATGCCTTTACCCTATGGTTTTTATTTTCTATTTGTGTTACTTAGTTGCTTCTTAATTATTTGTATTTGTCTTATGGAAGCTTAACCTCTTTCCTCAAATTATCTTATGATTTTTATTCTGGAACTGGGTTTGGCTATGGTATGAAATTACCATTAATTCAATTCTCAGTTTTTTTCATTAAGATGCTTTTGATGCCGCATGGTATCAGAATTGGTGACATGAAATGTATTTCTTCTACCACCTACCATGGAGCAACTCTGACAAGTGACTTACTTTCCATTTTTTAATCTATGAAATTTTATTTGTCCAGTGAACTCCAACAATCTTGGAAGTACATTGAAGGCTATATAGCTTTCTTTGGAGGTTGAAGTCCTGATGTGATTGACCCAATGGTGTGTTGGAACTGGATTGTACTGGTCCATGAAAGTCCAAATTGGAAACTTGTTCTAATAGCTAATGTTACAAATTAAATATACAAACTCATGATTAAAGACATTGTATTAAAACTCATAATTTGGGGCACCTGCGTGGCTCAATGGGTTAAAGCCTCTGCCTTCGGCTCAGGTCATGATCCCAGGGTCCTGCGATCGAGCCCCACATTGGGCTCTCTGCTCAGCGGGGAGCCTGCTTCCCCCTCTCTCTCTGCCTGCCTCTCTGCCTGCTTGTGATCTCTGTCTGTCCAATAAATAAATAAAATCTTTAAAAAAAACCTCATAATTTACTAATTTTGTGGGTTACATTTTACTATTATTAATGTTCTTGAGGTTATTACATTTATTTTTCCCAGATGATAGAAATACTATACAATGGGGTGATATTGAGCCTCTCTTTCCAACTCTGCATTCAGTGATACCACTTAGGTAGCTTGAAGTTGGCCATGGTGGGTGCTGGTTGTTAAATGTTTACCAGTAGCCCACTGGTCACCACACAGGTCATATTCTTCATAGGGTAGTGTTGAGGCTTGACAGAGACATGTAGTGCCAGGGATATTGTAGATAGTCAAGAAAGGGAAGCTGCTTTTAAGGTCCTTCCTTTAGAAAATCTCTGCCATTTCCGCGGAGCCTAAAAATGACCAGTGTTGTTGGAGTATTTTATTGTAGTCTAGGGCCTCCAAAAGGACGGAAGATCTCTTTCTGTCTCTCTGTTCATCAAATGGATTCAGAAATACTTGACTAATATCCAAGGATATATTAGGGAAAAAAAAGTTTTAAGTGATGTGAGACTACTTTGAATAATTTGGAAGTACTAATTCAAATTCTTCTCAAATTGGAGGTTGAGAAGTGGTTTAGCACAGGTTTGCTGGTTTGTGCCAGTGATGACTTTGGGAAGAAAATATGCTATATTCCAGAACTGTAGGGGTGATTCTCCAGTGCTGCGCTCTAGACATGTACACAGCCTCCCGTGACCAAATCTTGGGCTGCTGGCAAGTAAGAACAATGTTAATAGAATATGGGCAAAAGAATATTTGTTTATGATCCTGAGAAGAATTATCTTTTATTGTGGGACTGTGTTTTTCTGGCAATACTTGCAGTGATATGTTCTGTCTTTATGAAATGGTGATGGTAGCAGATGATAGTGGTGGGATGAGAGTTAATTTTAATATCTCCACTTGAAAAGAGCTAGAAGTCATGTTGGTTCTTTTCTGTAAAGCCCAAAGTAGTTTTTTGCTTGTTTGTTTGTTTTTTGTTTTTAATGTTTGTGGCCCAATGGAATGTGAAGGGCTAGAACTACCTCATGTTGAATTTAAATGATTTTTCTGCAAGCAAATAAGTCTTATAGAATTATTCCGTAGGTGATTTGTTTCAGCAGCATGGACATATGTGAGTACTTCTGTTTACTCCTCTCATTGGCTACTTTCACAAAAACTGTTGCTAATTATTAAGAAAATCAAAGCATAAATGAACAAATCTTATCTTTTTCTGTTCAGTCAAGGAAACTTTCAAAGTCTTAACAGAACTGTTCTTTAGAGACGAGGCATGCAAAAAGTGAGCCTTTCAGCTTAAAATTGTAATTATGTTGTTTGTGTTTTACTTAAAGTTGTATTTGTCATATTCCAGAGGTTCTTGGGTCTACATCTGGCTTTAACCATTTTTGTCTCCTTTCTAACACTGTTGATATTAATGCCAATTTTAATTTCTTGGCATCATGAGTGCATAAACATATCACACACAGATGTGATTTTGAATAAGGACAGAAACTGTAAATTAGGAAGCAAGATATTCACAGGGTTTCATCACATCTCTTCACTCCAAAAGTGACACAGTGGTACTGAAAAGGTCTTAAATTGCTCATTTCAAACCTACCTCAGTAGCAAAATGCCATGCGTGCAGTGGATTTGCAACCACGTTAGTCATTTTCTTTCCTCCGTTTCCATGCTGTGTTTGTATTGGGAACACAGAGTAATGTAATTTAGTAAATTATGATTTGATGGCTGGGCAACAGCCCCAGTGTTGAACAGTATTTGGATTATGATTACTTGCTGGCTTTGTCACAGTTGACATTAATTATTGATGGAAGTTTCAGAAATAGCGCATGTGCCAGGAGCTTTTCACTGGAACGCAGGCTCCAGGCAGGAGGGATGCTAAAGAGGGTGGGGGAAGAGTCACCTGTGGCTTGTTTCTGTCCGTGCACAGCGAGCCTGCACCTAGTGGGCTGTGTGGTACCTGCGTAAAGGTCATGGTGTGACGGAAGGATGAACCGTCAGGCTTATTTCTATCGTGTTCCTCCGCAGGAATTGCACCGAAGGAGCCAACTTCAGCCGGAGCCAGCCAAGACGAAGGCTCTCCAGACTGTCATTGAAATGAAGGTAGGAGCTGTTCACATTTTTCAAAAACAGCTGTGCCTCCGGAGTTTGTTCTAACTTGATGTTGCCTAACATAAACACTTGAAATGAACCTTGTGTTTTTCTCTAGGCACCCTGGTGGGTACTTTTCTTCTGGATCTTTTTGCCTTCTTGGGTACATTTAATTTATTGGCCCTTTAATTAGGATGTCTGTTCTGGGCAAAAGAATAAAGGGCTCAAGTATCCCTTGGCTGAAAGGAGCTGGGTTCATTTCCAGAGCATGGCCAATGCTTTCAACCCTAGGGGAGGTTTTGTGTGTGCTTTAAAAGGATATTTCTAAAGCTCGAATAATTCTTTTCTCCTTTTCATTCACATTACAGTGAAAAGACACTTTTAAAAAACTAGGACTTGGCAAAGAGAAGTTGCCTTATATGCAGCGAAGTTGTTAAATAATTAAAATTATGCTATCAGCAAAGTGTACTTTTCAAAGAATAATACTTTCCTAGGTCTCCACTATTTTCTCCTAACCAAGTCTGGAAGTAATAATAACTTATTAAATACTCATATGTTATCTTAGTTAGCTGTGGAAGCATCGGACATGCTATTTAAAAGAATCAGAGATCTTCCTGGATAAATTTAGAGGATTTAAAGAATAATGAAATAAATGGGGATGGCTAAGCCATGATGTATGATTAAGAAATAAATCTAAATGAAACCCAGTTGCTTTGTCAGTATCTAGAAATGTAAATAAAGGGGTTTTTTTTGCTTTCAGTGCTTGCCAGAAGGAAGTAAATAGTGTTTATTGTAAGAGTAAATAATTCTTGATTTAAATTGTTTCATGAAGAAAAACAATTCATAACAATGATGTTTGCAATCTGGTATTCCAGAGTTTAACACTTAAGAATTTTCTGATCACCATTAGCCTACAGAGAATTCTGTAGCTTGCTGATAGGATAGGATAAAGATTTATCTGTCTTTATTACAGCACATGATTTTGAACTGTCTGCCAAAAAATTCCCAAGTCCTGGGGATAAAGAAAGTGACACCAGCTATTAAATATTTGGCATGTACAATTCTGATTTGGGATTTTTTTTTTTTTTTTTTTTTGTCATGACAGTGTCTTCATCCTAGTGAATTTTTGTGGAAATAATGTAGAGCATTTGCTTTTAAAACTGTGTCCCCCAAATGAGGTTACATGAGTTGAGGCACTCCTAATGCATTTGCAGCAAATTGGTTCGAAAAATATTGTCAAAGGAACCAAATGCCAATAAGATTGAATAATCCTTGCTAATCTTGCCTCATCAATTCATGTTGAATTTATGTAATTTGAACTTGTTTTGAAAGAAACTTACCATTCTACATTTGTGGGGGAGTGTTTCATAACAGATTTCTTCCTTACTTTATAGTGTAACCAAACTTGAAACTTGGTTGGGGCTCTCTTCTTTTTTCTTTTCTCTTCTTTTCTTTTCTCTTTTTTCTTTCTTTCTTTCTTTCACTCTTTCTTTCTTTCTTTCTTTCTTTCTTTCTTTCTTCTTTTTTTCTTCCTTTCTTTCTCTTTCTTTCTTTCTTTCTTAAGAAAAGAAAAAAGACAAAATATTTTATCTTAAAGATTTTATTTTACCTTTTTGCAGAGTCAGTCTTTCTTCCACCCACTTCCATGCCTACCACTCCAGTCTCTGGCACTTACTAATGGAGAAGAGGATGTACATAAAATCAATTTCCAAACTATCCTTTCTTTAAAAAAAAAAAAAAAAAGAGTAATTGTGAATTCCAGCAATCTTTTAAGAAACCAGGAGTGACTCTCTTCCAGAGCAGTGGACATTTTTCCAGTAAAGGTCTCTATTCAAATACAATTAATACCTTTTGGTGACTTTTAGAAGGAAAAAAAAAAATCTGCTTACTTATAACAGTTTCTAGTATCATATGTTTTGTTAGAAAACAAACAAAAAATAATAGACTCATTTAGGCTCTCTGTATGGGAAGGCATAAAACATGACTTTTAGGGCAAATTTCACATTCATATATTATCAGTAAATTGAGCCTGGAGTTTTCCTTTTATGGATGCCAAAGATGCTGGTTTATAGAACATGTTTTTAGGAAAAATGATGATCAATATACTTGTCAGGGAATTGAACCTGGAGTTTTTCTGTTGTTTTTGGATGTGTATTAATTTACAAACCACAGCCTTCTGTTTTGTCAGTGGAGAAGTCTGGGTCCCATTAGCATCTATACTCACTATGTAAAAATTGAATTATGGGGGCAGATGGTAGAGGCTCATCTTTTCAGCTATGTCTGTAGCTTGTGACAGAGGCTGTGATCTTATCCAGTTTTGTATATTACACTCCTGCGAATTTGGAGGGAATTTTAGAAACCCATATTTTACAAGCTTTAGGGTTGACTCTCAAATACAATTGACCCTTAAACCTGGGGGGTGGAACTTAAGACATTGTTGTGTTTTAACTTAAATACCTCTGGATAAACATCGGTATCATCTGGTTCCTTGGCAAAATCTAAAGTTAAAAGGAACTTTCCTAGAGAAAATTTGACCTGTAGTTTCAGGGAGATGACATGAATTAAGGGCTTACAAATTACCTCTGCTAGTCCCTTGCTTCTGAGAGAAACTGAGGGTCAACTTCTGAGCCCTCATCTTCTCCACACATACATTTTGCATCAACTTGAGAAAGTTGTTAATTGTGAAAATCTGTGAAAACTTGCCTTAATTCAAGCAGCTTTAGAAACTTGGTTTGGTAGTTTCCGTAGATCTCTATGGGCACCTCTGGGCTTGTACATTGTGAAAATATGTCTGTGGACAAGCATTGGGGAGGGACATCTGCCAGCATCAAAGAGGGCGTAATTCTCTTGCAGCCTTCACATCTACCGCAGCCAGTTGAGCAGGGGGCTTAAGGTCATCTGAATGACAATGAAAGGAAGCAAAGTGAATGAAGTTATTTATGATTTATCTTCTTGCAGGAAGCTCCAAGTTTTAATTTTGATCCCGATTTGCTCTGGCAGGTATGTTCCAGGTTTGCACTAGAACATTGTGTGTATTTCTCACAGAAATTAGTTTTCTTGTAGATGGTGCAGTGCTCTTCCTTCTCTTACTTTTGTGTCCAAAGATTCTTTACTAGCTCCTCTTTTCTGCTTTTATGGAGAACTGTCAACAAAAATGGTAGTTAAAAAGCTTTTTCCCTCTTTTCTTCTTTAATGTTAATTCCTTTGAAAGAATGTTTTAACCTACTTTTATTATAAATTTGATTTGACATAAAGATGATGTCCAAAATTTCACTTCTCAGGTTCATTCATAAAGCTGTACCTAGTTTCTTTTTAAGAAAATGAATTACAGTAACAATGGTACTAGTCAGATAATCTTAAAATTGTTTTCTTTGCTAGTTAAATCTTCCAGGTGAATGAAAATCTAATTCAAATTGGCTAAAACCAAGAGGAAATTTATTGGCTCACTCAACTAGAGAAAAACAGGATATATCTTCAGGCACAGCTTGATCCAGGGGCCCAAAAGTTGTTAATGATCCCATTTTCTCTCATTCCATTCTACAGTTTGATTTCCTTCATGTAAACTCTATTTTCAGACAGCCACTGTCTGCCCATCTGAGTAAGATGGCTTTAACAGCTCTAGTAATCACAAAAAGAAGGGATAGGAAGAAATTTGTGTTTTAAGAAAATGCAAAAAAGAAACCAACCCCAGAATAATGATAATTACTGGGATGGGGTGTAAACTTCACACTAGACTTAACAGCCCAGGCTAAAAAGAAAATACACAAAGTTTCCTAGTTCTCATTTGCTTAATAAATTAAATGGCACTCATTCATGAAGAAAAACAAACTTTATGCTTGTGAGTGCCATAAGGGATTTAGTAAAAATTGCAGAAAATGTATTTGATCTGGTGAACTTGTTATCTAAAGTGAATTAAGAAGCTAGGAGTGTAATGTCACTAGGTGACAGTATTTCTTTTGTAAGTAACGTGGGGATTGTGGGTGTTTAGCTTTCTGGTCACATGACCAGCCAGGCACTTGTGTGTCATGAGTGGTGCTTTTTGAGTAACATTTGTTCCCACCAGGCTTTTCTATGGGAAATGAGCATTGAGCAATTCAACATCGAGCTTAACTAAGTTGCTGACTTGTCATTGTGCTGTGGACCAAAGAACAGGACTTTGCATTCAGGTGCTAAACTCCAGTAGTGAGGCTGATCTTTTGTTATTAAAACTAAAGACCAAGCCTTGTTTTCCTGCTCCACCAGATAACTGCTGTTCTTCCGCATGGGGTGGCGGTGAGCTGCAGTTGGGTTAAGTTTCTTTTAAAAGATAGGCTGATATTTCGTAAAGTTCGCCAGTTAAGTTCCAGTAGTGTGGCTGATCTTTTGTTATTAAAACTAAAGACCAAGCCTTGTTTTCCTGCTCCACCAGATAACTGCTGTTCTTCCGCATGGGGTGGAGGTGAGCTGCAGTTGGGTTAAGTTTCTTTTAAAAGATAGGCTGATATTTCGTCAAGTTCAGCCAGTTCAGTTCCAGTAGGTATGGAAAGGATGCACTGGAACATGCAGAAGGTGAAAGCTACAGTGGCAACTTTTCCCAAGGTCACACATCTAGGAAAGGAGGGATTTCAAGTTCAAACCTAGGTCACTGAATGCATCCCAATTCCCAGTATGAACTTAATTCAAGTATTGGAATCTAGTCAATAATACCACTTTGTGGCTGAAATGTTTTCTTTGGCTATAAGGCCTCCCTATATTTATTTCTTCCATTTTTTAAACTCTTACCTATTTGAGTCTAAACACTGCACTCTACTTAGAATGATTTCTTCTCTTAGGATGAGATGTTCATAGAAAATTGGTTTCAAGCCTAGTTTTCTAGCCAAGCCATTATGACGGCTTTTAGGCCTTAAGACTATGCCTCACTCTGTTTGTGGCTGTTAAAAACAGTATGAGCAATAACAATAAAAATAGCACCTTGCACCTTTGGTGACACCCCACAACCCGAACACCACTAACTATGCATGGGAAACCAGACA